CCCCAAAACCCCAAAACCCCAAAACCCCTTTTTGCAAAGGTCAGTTTTTATAAGAAAAATTTGAAATCATTTACTTAAATTATATCTGATTGATTAATTCATTATTTCGCTTTGAAAATCTTAAATAATCCAAAAGCCACACCACCAACTAAAACTAATACAGCTACCTGCTTTTTTGATAATCTCATTAATTTTTAGCTTGGAGTTGCCTATTACTCTTCTTGTTGCTAAACTTTATGTCCAGTGATTATTCTTGACATTAATTCTCTTTCTTCTTATGATATTGCTCTTTTGAATTCAAGAGTATCATTTTTTTCTGCTAGAACCCATTTTGCTTCAGCCTCATTGAATTCTTTAGAATTGTTTTGTTCAAATGCAATCAACAACCATACCATAATTAGATTAGCAAGTTTTCCATCTGAATATTTCTTAGTTTTATCATTATCTACCAATGTAGATTTTATAAATTCTAGGCATTCTTATTTCTTATTCATGAGCTAAAGTAATTCACATTTCTTTATAATTATTGCCAAATCTCCAATTTTAAGCTTTTACTTGGCAATAATAGTCCTTTAACAGTCTTCAAAATCTTTCCAATCTTTCTTTCTACCAGTGAGGATTTTGGTATCCTCATAAACCACTTTCATCATCATTATCTTATCTTCAAAAAGTTTATCTTATTATAGCCATGGCATCTTTTCTATTATATCCATAAAATGTTATGTCTTTTCATAAGCCTTTTCAAATTAGCATGATGAAATATAGATGTTAGCGAGTTCTCCAAGGAAATCTATGATAGTAGTAGAGTATTTCCCACTTCTCTGCTAGTCGATTTCTATCATCCTTTCGCATTTTTATTAAAGTATTTGGTTCAAATACTTTAATTCAGATTACTGTTACATCTTTTGCTTTAACGCTTTCTGTTTTAAATAGTAAGATATTTCGACCATATATAGTAGTGAGAACATATAATGGCTCTCTAAACCTTCAAAGTGCTTTAAAAATTTCAGTCTACATTGTTCAATCAAAGAGAGAAAGTTTTCATTATTGTTCTATGGATGTTGTAAATCGATCAATAACTGATAGGCTTCGTAGAATACATATATTAAGGTGTCACTGCCAAACTGATCCTTTGCCTTATTCATCCCTCTTTTAAGAGTATTAATTGCTTTGAAAGGATTTTTCGAAAAGTCTTCATTCAAAACACCTAAGTACTCCATAGCATACACAACTCCATCAGGACTACAATTTTTCTTAATAATTTTCTTGATTAATCGACTAATACCTGACTTTATTTCAGTGCATCCAATATCCGAAGCATCTTCTGAAATTTTATTCAAAATTTTCTTATTTGAGTTTGTCTCATCTTCTTTGAAGATACTATTTATAAGTAACTCTATCCTTTAATATTTTTCCATGAAATCCTCTCTTTTAAACATTCTAGCTGAAGTTTTAGCCTTAAATATGAGAATCTTGACAATCAGTAAGTGTTCAAAATCTTTCTCATCTCCACTGTCATCTTGAATATCAAATAATTCCTTCGCAAGCTCAAGAGCTTTATCTGTATATTTCTCTGCATTCCTTAACCTGGCCATATCCCCTCTCAAATTTTGACAGCAATTAGCCAATTTAAGATAGACTTTGATAATTGAGGGGTGATGCTCTACATGAATTTCTTTCAAAACTTTGAGTTGCTTCTCAAAATATCCTTGAGCTTTATCCATTTAATATGTATCTACTAAATTAACTCCTTTTATTTTATACAACTCTGCCTATTGTTCCTTAGACTTTGTTTAATCTATTATTTTTTATGCATGCTGTAATTAAATTTCCAGTGACTTTTCCTTGAAGAACTCAGAATTATAATAGGCTGATTTAAGACATATTTACGCCAAATATTTTAATTTTTGCTCATTAGGAGCATAAGATTCTATAAGATTTCTTGCTAACTCTAACTTCTCCATTGCTTTATGATAAACACAAAGATTGTTATACATATCTATTAGTACTAAATACCCTTGCACTAGATACTTCCAGGCTTCTTGCTTTATTATCAAATAGTCTGAAAGAAATTTGAGTGTCTCATTCATGCAAAGCTCTGTCATATTCTGTTCTTTCAGAATAATTAGATAGGAAAGTCTAAATTTTATGTTATCTTTTGTGTCTTCTTTTTTTGAGATTATAAGTAGTTCATCAGTAAAGTTTTGATGAGCTAAATGCTTTTCATAGAAAAATCTATTGGTTTCTGCCATATAATACCTGTATATTATTTCAATCTTATATTTGAAAGTCTCTGCTTCTTATTAATAAGTATCAGATTTAATCATCTCCTCATAACAAACCTTAAGCTTATTAATTTCATTGAATTTGCAAGTAGATTTGATTGTTCGCTTTATTTGTTTTAGTTAGCTTCTAAATTCGTCTACTATATCTACCATTAATAAATCTAATCTGATAATTTTTTGAGTATGATACTAAAATTTTATATTATAAAATTCTTGTCCATTAGATTTTTATTACTTTAATGAAAATTACTCATTGATTAATTGAATCGAACCTTAGGGGTTTTGGGGTTTTGGGG